GAATTCGCCTTAGCAATCTGACGTAGCTCTGTCACATCAGAGTGTCATACTGTATGCTCCCCAGTTCCCTGAATGACGTGTAATTCAATCTCTGCTACAGCACATGGTCGCTTTGATTTCACTTTAGGCCGAAGTGGCATATTTCCAATATCTGTGTCTGGAACTCAGTTTAAACAAGCCTATATCGCTTCGAAAGTGATGATGTTTCGGCCCGTTATCTATTTATTGTGTGGCATTGCGTGGCATTGCTGAATAAAGAATTTTGGTTTTGCTGTGGTAAATGATTGGGTCTCGTGTATTTTGAAAGTGGCAGACAAGAGCGATCTCGCGGAACACTTTCACGTTACAAAGTCTTACGCAAATTTCGATGGAAACATTTGTTATAAAATTCTCTTGGACGAAACACATCGTAATTAAGTTTTTTGAAGATTTTAGTGGTTGTTGCTTTGAAACATCGTAGTGTTTTGGGGGAAATCAGGACAACGTACATACATATAACGTCTCGCCGAACAAATGAGAGATCCGACAATAGATATAAACAATGATCGAGTATCGCAGAGAGCAGAGTACAAATTAAGTGCAAAATATTTTGGCACATGAGCATTACTGTACGCGCTATGTTGAATGTAGGATACTTTTTAAACCTTCATTCTGCTCTTTGACATTTATGGTAAATGTATTTAGCTCTTATATCGTAGCTTGAAGAAAATGCGAAAGTCTCAATTCCAACGAAAAGATACAAGGCTTGTCTTTGACCAGTGCGCCGTCACTTTTCAATAACTTACCTACTTGGCGACTTGGACCTAGATACTGACTTAGGAATAAAATACACATTGCCGTAGGGTTAATCAATAATATATTTTTTTCCAAAAAATGGCGTCATGCGAAAGGGCATAACTTTAGTCTACACAACTACCTCAGAGAAGATTCACGCAACTCTCCCAAATACTCCGCATGGTGAAATGTCTTACATTTTCCCATTGCTTATGATGGAAACGGCATATGATTGGATTAGGTCCAAACCTCTGACAGCTAAATGACACGCACGGAGACTATTATGGGCCGGCAAACCGAATGTAGTGACTGTTTCGGCCTGAGGGCCGAAACAAAMATATATTACTTCAATTTTGACAAATATAAGCCACTTACGGCAGTGACGAAATTTTGCTGATTAAGTATAGACCGACGTATGACGTCACAAGGGCTGTTCGCAAACAACATTACAACGCATTCAAGGCTCAAATCAAATTGAGGTTTCCGGTCTGCTGAGTATTAGAACATCTTGACCGATCTAAGAAAATCTATACTTCCTATTGACCAAGTTTCTCTTTAGTAACTTGGAATCGAATCTTCGACGTATATGTATGAGAAATTCATTCAGATACTTTGAGTTTTTGGACTCATTTTGGGCGTCGATGGCGTGACCAATAAGTTTGCAAGAGTAAACTTTGATCACAATAATTTTCAACTTGACGCCATACAAACTGTGAAACACAAACTTCTCGAAATTTATTTGACTGCCATTGTTATGAAGACTCAATTCATGGATTCCTTCGCTGCACATTTATCTATATTATGCATTATTATGCTTGGATCTCTCGCTGTTTGCGGTAAGTACCGAATACTTGCTCCCAAATCGTCTTTTGTTTTCAAATGAGCAATCTACGTGGTCTAATAAAGCGAGTTCCAGCATCGTTCACCTCAAATTTCGATCTCTTGATTCCTAAATTAATCGTTGTTTTAACTTAGATGTAYTTAAAGTCCTACAAAAGAAAAAAATTCTGAGTTTAAAAAGTACATTTTGAGGTACGCGAGTGAGCGAACTCGATTTTATACTATCRCGAACAGCTTTTCTTTGAATTCTTTTACTTAATCTTACCGCAAATCATCAATAATATAAATTTACTTATCATAAATATTTATAAACCTTTTAACTATTTTATCTGTTTTCCTTCTTACTAATTTATGAAATATTGAGGCTTTAAAAAGCTCACGGAATTCTTGAATAAAATTACTCATTAGTAGTCAATACTTTGAGGTAGAGACTTTGAGGTTAACTAACTGACGTCCCACTGATGACAATTAACTTCTTCTAAAAACATCAATTATAAATTAATATGAATCAGATTATTTATGTATTYATTATTGTTATTTGGTTCTCAAATGATGGTTTCGATTATATATATGATATATATAATATATGTACAAAGAAACAACAATATAAACACGTTGATGGCTTCTATCTTCATGGTTGTGAACACAGGATAAATATTCAATATTCAATCTCAATAGATTCTTCAATAGAAATTCCAGCGTTGGAATTTCAGTTAATCCTGTTTTAAAATATTTAGCTTTATCTYTTAACAAGCTTAGCCTTGCTTTACAAATCTGAATCGAAAGCTGAAATAAAAACATATTGTTTTTCAATACTGTTTCGTATTAAACCACGTGTATCTGTGCAGCTTTTTTTGAAATATTTTTAGATTTTTTATTCCACAAAAAAACTTCAATAAAAAAGGAACTAAAATTCAAAAAGAAAACATGCATATTTATACTAGAAACACTTTGCACTTTGACTAAAAGAGTATATGGTATTCTTTTGGATTAATTAAACTTGAAGTGTGAGCAATTTTTACCTCGGAGATATATGAAGCAAAAACTTAAATTAATCATATACAAGTTCATAGAACGGAAAACGCGCGTAATGAAAAACCCTCATTGTTTCTTGTCCCTTCCTCATGTCTTCCTCCTCTCTGTCCTTACGTCTATCGTCTATCGGTCGCTATGCGTTCTTTCATTTGTCTGTTATATAACTTGTTCGTTTGTTCATTTATCATCGAAAACAAATTTTCTGTCGTTCCTTTTTTTCGGCATTCTTTCATTCATTTACTTTCTCCTTTCTTTCTTTATTGTTGTTCGTGATTTCTTGTTCTACTTCTTGTTCTCGTTGTCGTTTTACATAACTCTGAACAAGCGTACTTCTTTTCTCCTTTATCTCTTTGATTCTATTACGGTTTTTTTCTGTGATGCTGCATTATGTTTTTTCTTTTCTTTTAGTCTTAACTTAATATAGATGAGCTGCTCCAACAACCTTCAAATTATAAATTTATTAACCGAACCTTTCGGGCTTAGCGCTTATCACTTATCACGGTACAATTTTTGGAGCAACGTATGTGACTTCCTGCACATCAAAGCTACATCAAGGTGGAAAGATATCCTAGATTTTTCTGAGTAATTCAGTAACAGGAAACCTTAGTTCAGCTTTTATCAAATGATCAACTTCCTTTTTTTTTCATGATATTTTTATAGCAACACGCCTGTCTAGTTATTTCGCATGACTTCCGGTAACGACTGTAGCTTTTCTATTCCATGGAAAGAAATATTTTTGCAATTTTTCCCTTGCTACTTTTTCTGAGTTTTCTGTCTCCGCACACATTTCCTTCGTACTCATTGTTATTACACGTAATAAATAAATGAATAAATAAATAAATGAATAAATAAATAAATAGATAGATAAATAAATAAATAGATAGATAGATAAATAAATAAATAAATAAATAAAGAGTTCTGATTGGTCAGTAGACACATGACGTAATTTGACAAAATCCACAATAGACCCTTACAGCACATCGGGATGCAGCTCAATTTGGAGAACATAACAATAGGTTTCTGATTCTCAGGCGATTGAAATTATTTTGTTTTTTCCTCCAAATCGAGCTGTTTTGACGTTGCATGCAAAGGGTCTATTCTATGGACCACAAAAATTGCTTAGTTTCAATGCAGAAAGGACATTATCTTGACCTCGAATTAAAAACAATAATTATAATTATTCAATTTTTGATTTTATTTTCACCTATCACTTTAATGTAAATTGGGCTCCCTGTGATCTTACTTACCGAAATGTTACCAAATGCCATCAATATTGGGTTAGTAGGGGGAAGTGGAGCCTGTGAGGACGAAGCATAGAACAGTGAAGACCGATTCTTATCAAACCTGCCCGCTAGCGCACAATAGGCCCTTTGCAGCTCAGTAATTACGTGCTGATTAATTCACTGACAGCAAATGAGTGAACATCTTGATTCCCATGGGTGAAATATACTGGTGAGCAAACAAAATTTCTACAACCTGTTTCGAGAGATCGTAATAAAACCGCATTTCGTAACACAATGGTTACACATCGTTTCATTCAGTTCTTTACAAGTAGGTAAAAAGAATCACCAATTTAAAATAAAATAAAACATATTGCATGTTACACGGCGCAATTTTGGCTTTGTGAAACTTTAGTCGCGAGAAAGTTTCACGAAAAGTAGAACTGCTTTCTACTCGTGCAACCGAAACTCGTGTCGGGAACAAGTTTCAGAACGAAATTGCGCCGTGTAACACACCAGTGAAACTTGTCACACAACGCCGTTGCAAGCAAGTTTCAGCTAAAATTTTCAACGTATAACAGGGCCTTAAGCAAACATGGCGGTAAAAGTGAAATTTTTCTTATTCTTTCTTTCCATATTTCTGCTTCTTGTAGCCTCGTATATTATTTTAGTCAAAAGAAAACAGCAAAATGCGCAAAAGTTGGGTTACAGAAGCCTGGGAATGAAGGCTGCCGGTAAAACAGCTAAACGCGCTGTGATTGGCTGAAACAAAATTCCCCGCTTAGCTGGAAAAGTGTAGGGAATTAAGGGCGATGGTGTAGCTACACAGGGAGCCCGGCTTTAGAATTTGTACATGAATAAATAAATCAATAAAGTGCTTTATTGGGTTTCCTGTATTGAGATTTGAAACAAGACGCTGATAAGTTGAATTTCCGGCAATCGTACTACCAGTAACTTGATAGTAGCTTAACGTAACGTATCAGTGTAACGCACGCCCTAGTAAATGGTAAGAGAGAGTGCGTTACACTAATACGTAAATTTGAATTATAAGCTGCTCTCTCAAGTTACTTACGTTAATCTGCTATTAAGTTACTGGTAGTACGATTACCGGAAATTCAACGTATCAGCGTCTTGTTTCAAATCTCAACACAGGAAACCAAATAAAGCACTTTATTGATTTATTTATTCATGTACAAATTCTAAACCCGGGCTCCCTGTGGTAGCTATAGTGACTTGCCTCTGACCAAGAAGCTGTTTCAGGGTTCAATGATATTTGAAGAATTTCCTTTCAACCCAAAACGTGTTTTGGGCTGGGAAAAAGGGGACATGTTTGTAACCCTTTCATTTTCAAGGACTATAACTATAATATTTTTCGTTATTGTTATTAAAGACCTTTTTGTTTACTTTCAAGGCGGTTCGATACTCGAACATCTTCGCAGATTCCTCTCTGTGCAGTTCAATGGCTTCCATCAATTGTTCCGCCTGTTGGTATGAAGTAAAAAAAAAATTGAACTCAAAAATATATATAGCTTATATAGTATGCGCGCTTTGATTGGTCGAGAAAGTGTTTTATTAGTAAACGGAGCACGCAAAAATGATGTTCCATTCGTTAAATATTTAAGCATAGTACGAAACAAATCATGCTCTGGATGCCGCTCTGGGTAGCTTTGGGTATCACAGTCGAATTGCCCCAGTCCCCGTGCAGCAAACCACGTCCGGGAAACATTGGAGAAACCATATCGCAGCTGAAAACAAATGCGCATGCGCCAAAAATGTACAGTCGAACAACAAGACTACTTTCACTAAAAACGTTTTACATAAGGAATTCTGACGTGACATCTGTATTTCACTCTGACAGATTTCTCAGAGGTTAAGAAGTTTCGTGAATTCCTTACCGATTTCATGCTTTCCATTGTCTTCTTTCCAGCCTTTCTCGCTTCAGAATCATTTTCTCCAGGAATCTTTGATAAAGAAAAGTGAAATAACTCCTTTGAAAAGTAACGCAGAAGTCAGGAAATGACGTCGACTGATACCAATAGCGCTACTAGGTCACGTGACCCTATTTTCCTTTATCTAGAATTCGCGTCTCAAAAACACAGGAATAAACTGATAACGCGACCTTGAACTTTGGGTGTGCTTAGGTTTCTTCAGCGTGAGGACAGGKGGGCGGCAAAAACCCCTTSCCCCCCCCCCCCCCCGGCTGCGCCCCTGAAATGGCATTACACTTTATATAAGAAAATACGCTGAATGGCGAGACCTGCAGTTTCGTTGTAGTTTTACTTACGACTTGTTCCGGCCCTTGTGCCAGAGTTTCTTCAAAAGCAGTTTCTCTTTCCTAGGTTCGAAAAGAAAGTTGAATTTATCGCTAAAAACAAACAAAGATAACGAAGATTACGTCAAACGCACCTGTTCACGCTCCTCATCAATGATCAATGGCTCATCCGTTCGTTGCCATAGACGCAGAGACTTGTCATGCGACCCCGTGACCTGTCAACCAATCAAAATCTCTTAAGCAAAATTGGTTCTCAAATGATACACAGCGTCAACAACGGTAGGCCATTTTCCCTACCCTAACAATAAAAGTCTTATGGAAAGTTCATCTTAAAGCGCTTGTCGAATGCGAGGTAACACAAGGAAAGTATATAGTTCCAGCCAACATTCTAGTCTTCTTGGCAGCCGTTTTTAGTCTCATTCCATTCCCCTACGGTCCACTTCTCTTCGCACAAACGGTTTATGGGAGAGAAGTGGAGACTATCAACATGGCTGCCCTTGAGAAAGGTCTCTTGTTAAACTATAAACAAACGGTAGTACTTTACCGCAAACACAAACCATTTAACCGAGGCTGTAAGGTTCAATTTGGATTAATCCTTTGAAGGGTTTACTTTGAAGCCTCGATTTAATACTTTGTGTTCGACCAATGAATCGAAGTATGGAGGGTGGTGTTATTCATCACTGAAAATGGGCGTCGTTGATTCGGGATTCTTGTTTAAGACACTCACCACGTATTCTCCATTGGGACTGACAGCTAGGCACCAGACCTCTCCCTGATGACCCTGTCAAAATAAATGACATCTGCTTGTTTACTATGAGGAGCAGATGGTAAAACCCAATTAGATTTGTCAGACAAGCACGCGCTTAAACCCTATATAAGGTTAACAAAAGGCCAAACGGAACAAGAATCAACCAATCACTGCGCACCTCTCGAGTAACTTCCACAACTGCAAAAAAGGACGCGTTCGCTTCAGTTCTGCTTCTTAAGATAGATAGATAGATCCAATCACACGCGCAAGGTCAACTCTCGACTCTACTAACTCGAAAATGCCAGCAAGAGTGGTAAGTTCGCTTCAAGATGATAGCGACTATATTTTCAATCGATGCACCCTTCAAAACGGACTGAAAGACAGTAGTATTAAGTTTATTGAGTTTAAGGGAAACAAAAAGTTCGTGGGGAATAACATTTGGATATTAGTCGTCGCTATTGGGGTGGTCCTCCTGAAGAAGATGAAGGGTTGATCTTATCCTTGTGTATTACTGGGGGCTTATCGTCGTCGGGTACCCGAGGCGTTCTCGACTGGGGATAAGTAAAGATAGTATTCGCGCCGCCTTGATAATGCGGAACTAGCGGCAGCACGCTCATGGTGCTAATGGTTCTATGATTCCAGGCGTTATCCGGCTTCCCGTTATTAATATCTAGAATAGCATTTATCGTAAGTTCACCAAGACCACCAGCCATGGTATCGCTAGGGCGAACCTGAAGCTTCGCATATTGACAATTGACTACCATATGAAAAGTCACCGACGTTAGGTTCTCCGCGCTCGTGTGCGTGGGCTCAAACGTAAAATGAGTTGGAGCCCTGTTATTCACCTTTTTCCTGTAGGGTAATAATGGGGCGTTGGCCTCATCAACGATCCTAAACCCAACATTGCAGCTATTCCACGTGCTAACGTTAATGGTGCACATAATCAACCCCAAGCCTCCAACCCTTACCCACAGCCCGGTGTCTCGCCAACTGTCGCCCTGTCCATATGTACTTTCCTCTAAATAATGTAAGAACCAGTCCTCTTTCGTATGCGGATTCATATATTCCAGCAAACATAGTTTGCTTCTAGAGACTTAACACCGTAAGGCTGCTGATGGTTGCGTGGTTATAGGCTGTATCCCTTTGATTTTCTATGCTGTTTATGCAAACGCTTCCGGTGTCATCTACGCGCATTTGCAGCTTTACTTTTCCGTGGCAATCGGCGATCATATGAAAAGTCCAAACGGAATGATTTTCAGCGCTGGCTGAGCTGGGCTCGGTGGAAAAATGTGCAGGCTCCCTGTTGTTCGTCTTATTTCTCATAGGCTGCAGTATGCCATTCTCATCCAGGAACCTAAAGCCCACGTTGGCGTGACTACTCGTGCCAATGCAAATACTACAAAGAATTAACTTCTTTCCCGAGTAGTTCAAGTCTACAGACATCTCCGTGACATCAACCCAAGATGCCTGGGTGTATTTTTTCTCGCCTGTGTAAGTCGTATAAACACAATCTACTCCAGCTACGTAGGGGTTGTTCATC